AAATTGCTGCAGCAACATTGTTGTGCGAATTTCGCTAAAGAAAAAAGTCAAACTCTCACAACCGCATAAAGCTCACGGAGCACTAGCTTTTGAACCCGGCAGTTGGCATAACGGCTTAAACTGGTAAGCATGAGCAATAGCTATAAAAGCAACAACGAAGAATTCAATTGAGTTTTACTCTTAAAGAATGGCTTTAAGCGCATACAATAGACCTCTATTTACTATAACAAAAATGATAAAGTTGTTAGCTATTTTTGCAAACATAAGGAGATTTAAAGGACACACCTAGAGAGAAATGAAAAAAAGTATTATTTTATATTGAATAGGTTATACCTTCAAAAGTAGCATACTAAAATTTTAAATAGATATTTCAAAAATATTTTGAGTTACATCCTTCTAAAATCTTGCCGCTGAGTTCAATTGGCTCTATCATTTTATCTTTAAACGCCTCTGTGTCGAAACAGCATTTTTTGAATTTGCTGTAGTGATTGCTCAAAGACAAATGATTCGATGACTATCAAATTTATTCTACAAGTTCTGTATATAGTTACCCATAAGCCGCCACTTTTCAATTTTTGCGGAGGTCAATTTACGGATGGCCGGAAAAACTGGACGTTTTGATTTTCTTCTTCCAACAATATCCGAATAATCGGTTGTATGGGATATATATGATATAGTCGCCCGATTTTGACAAATGATTAATAAAATATAAACTGACGAAGAAATTTTTTTTAAATTTGCTGGCTCGAAACTGGTTTTAGACCGATAGTCTCTTAGGCAAAATTGTTCAGAATGAACCGTAGAATATTTCACGAATACGCGACTTTTCCCTTTTTTTGGCTCCCTGCAAATCAACCTGCTCTAATGTGTATATTATGATGAATAGTATGTTATTATTATTGTCTGCTTCAAAATAATGCCCCCAAATGTTTACTATAGGTACCTCTTCAATCTTCAAGAAGGGTTTAATAGATTAAATAGTTTTTATACAAGCCACATACGAAATATAATATATTGTATATCCAAAAGGGTCATTTGGCCAATTCCAAAAATTTTTGTCAAAAATTCAAAGTATGATTATTGCAGTATAATACTTCAAATGAACCATGAATCTCACACTATCATCGATATATTTATGCAGTGTAAACAAAACAAACTCTCAAAATCTCTCTGAAATATCTGACATATTAACGGATATATGAGGTATAAAATATACCTGAAGAACGCTGGTCGTTATAATCTCAAATTCTGTTGTGACGTGTGACAAGAGCCTTGTTTTTTGCTAAGTTTTATTTCGATACCTTTCTTGATGCCTGAGCTATCTACTGTGAGTATACATGAGTGTTCACGTTTTATGGTAAGTTAGCGCAGTATAAGAGAAACGCCGAGTTTTTCAACTTGAGAAACCCAGCATGCCTTTCCCTACTGTGACCCACATGTATATTTGCAATTCCATCCTCCCCAGAGTCCTAAAGTACACGTACACCAATTCTCATTAATAAACCTCAAGTTATGGATTCCAGTGGCAGATGGTCGAACTTGCAGAAATCCGGAAATGAATTCAGCTTGTCCTCCGGATCATTGTGATACATACATAGGAATTTTTTGGAGTCTATATCTATGTATATCGATTAGTTTAAGGCCTTAAAAATATACGTTAAGGGAACAGAACTATTATATTCTGTGCAACACGTAACGAAAGTACTAAAATGTTGCAAGACAGACTAAACGTTGTAAACATACATAAATACACGCAACAAATATTACGAGTTCCGTAACACATTGCAAAAATATGAGTATGTAAGTGAATAAAGAAAAACCTGTTTGCTTCGAAAAAAATCAACAGATTTGTATGACAAAGTTTTATTAAATTTTTCATCTTTTGAATATTGTTTCCATAAATTATACGAACTTTTTTATTAAAGCTGTAAACAAATAAATGCATGTAATATGTTCCACATATAAAAAGGATTTCAACTATCTCTGTTAACATTGGCAAATAAATGTTCATATGTGTATATGTATGTGTGTAGTTGTGTCTATGCTAAAGGAGCTTTCGGCAGTTATGCTTTGTGTCCTCATATTATTTAACTTATTATGCATGCAAGAAAATATAAAAGTAAGAAAATGTGTCCTTTTACGACTTTTTGCAACATTGTCTTTGTATGTGAATGTGTGTTTTATTATTATTTGTTGTCGGGATTAGGCGTAATGTTTGCGAGTTCCCTTGTCCTTTTTTAATAACCTCACATTTCTTTTTGTACTCGTGTATTCGGCAAATATAAGCTGTGGGTATATTTGTAGGGACTTATAGACAGGCGTTACGCTCTGAAGAAATAGAAAACTTTTCGCCAGGAAACTTGATTCGAAACTATTTTGTTAATTAACTAGGCAAAATTCTTCGAACTTGTACGCGAAACGGATTTAGTTGTATTGCAAAAAATAGCTTTTTTTGATTCACAGAAAAAACGTTTTCAAAATCGAAAAAACCACAAAGCAAAAGTGCTTCGACGACCGGCCAACGGTTTGCACCCAACGGAAAATGTTTAGCTGGTTCATTCTAGCCACGTTGTTTCATAAAAAGTTTCAAGTCGAATTAATGTTCCTTACTAAAAAAAAATATCTTTCATTTTGATTTTGATCGCTCAGTTTGTCTGGCAGCTACATATATACTATGGTGATCCGACATCGGCGATTTCGGTATATAAGCATCTTCTTTTTTCAAATCCTGAGAGACTAGTTCGACATGGGTAAATCGACTCAGCTCGTCGCGTTGATCATTTATATATAGATTTTATAGGGTACAAACTTCGTGGCAAACTTAATATACGCTGATCAGAGTTAAAAACGTAAAGTTTCGAGTTTCGTTTTCCTATAAGTAATAAATTTGATTAAGAACAGCTGGCTTGAGTATACCAGTTCTAAAAAAAAAAAGTCAAATATGTTTGAGAGAAAAAACTTCAGTTATAAGTTTCAATGGAAGGCGATTTTAGGTGGGTTAAAATTTAGGGTTTTGTTAGGGACTTTTTCCTTGCAAAAATAAACTTTGTAACTCCCGGCTCGTTTATCAAGGCAATTAAGACCCTTACTGTTAAAATCCCGTAGATCAAATTCTGAACTAAATGAACCTTTCTGTCACATACATCAAGACTTTAGATCTCGTTCAAAATTAAAAAGTCTATAATGATTTCTCTTAAAAGTTATGATAGCTCTAGAAATTTGTATTTTTGTAGCGGAGAAATCTTGTCACCTAAAAACTCTGTTGCCTTTCATGACTCGGATAATCGTTGGGTTATTATATGGTATGTTAGATCCACTAAGAAGTTTAACAAAACCTTTAAATGTTTTCAAAAATATAAAATTATACATATTTAAATGTTTTTTAAATAAATAAATACTGCTGCAGAGTAGCTACAAAATTTTCTAATAATAACCATGCGACAACAACAAAATACTCATATTTGTATTATTTATTTCATGAAATGGAATCCATATACATATGTATGTATCCATGTACATGTGTATAAATAAATCGGGAGCATTCATATTATGTTTAATATAAAAATCTTTTGCAGAATAGCATATGTACAGAGACGCAAAGCGTAATTGCTTATTATACTAATAAATATAACCGACAATGTATGCAAATAGCCGAGTTTGCGCTTTGTGAGTAAAACTTTTGTTTGACGGCAAAATTTGGGTTTTTCGAAATTTTTAGGTTATGGAGGAAAGGATATGTAGAGCAGTGCAAACGAAGGAAGGATGCTGGCCAGTGTAGTATGTGGATAAAATAAAGGGCATATAGAAAAGTGAGATGTGAGTTTGTTGCAGATGGGCAGACGATATTCGGGTCATTACTTTGACACATTTTTTGTCTGAATAATTGCAACTCTAAATGCTCCGAATGAAAAATTGGTTGATAACAACCCAAATTATGACTCATAAATGTGGGTACCATTTCATTTTCTGTTTATTCTGGTTATTATGTGATTCTCGGTAAAATTCATTAAAGCGGCTAGATTTAGTTCCCTATAATGGACTAACATACTTTTTAGTATGTACGAAATGTTATGTAGAAAAGCGTAACACAGTGTTAAGCAGCTGAATATTTTTCATTCAAGGTCTTTCTGCCCACTCTCTTGTAGCCTAATATTAGTGTTTAATACAGAGGTATTCCATTGAATGAAACTAAAACGAATGTGCAAAATAGCTGCAGCTTAAGAAAAGGTTAATATACATACTAGCCAAGCTGAAATGTTCCCATGGCATCTTTCTATGTCTTGTCATTAGCTTAACCTTCATGGATTAATGAAACAATATTCTCTCTACATAAAACGTAGAATGTTTTCGCATCTGACGAAAGTAATCGCTTGAAATTTACCAACAATGAAGTGAGACGAGACGACATCTAGCTATAGCCAAGAAATTTACCGTTCATGAAGAGAAAGCGATTCAGTCAACTCAGCTGATCTTAACGCGTATAAGTGAAGTCTATCAGTGGCGAAAATCTTATTTGCAGATTAATTCGGTGTGCCAGTCGCGCCAATATGTTGTTAATAAATTTGTCATGCCTCTAATTCAGGGATATTGAAGTGGACGACCTTTGGTTCCAACACGACGGCGTCCCAATTGCTGCAAAAATTGGGCGTCACGGCTGGAATTTAATCGAGCCAGCCGCAGCTACTCGAAATCAATTTTAAAACATAACTCTTATCTTTATAAAAAAAGCTTAATTCTTGTCCATCACATTGCATTATTTGCATTTAATTTCTTATTGAAAAATATACGTCCCCTTTTTTGTATATCAGTTGTGCTAAATGTTGTTGCAACTAATTTACAAAACGCATTATTTGTATATATTTAATTTTTCTACTGCTTGAAAGTAAAGAATTTAAATTTGTCACATAATTTAATAATAAAATTTATATGTATGTGTATATGTAACTGCTTTAGTATATATATGGAAATATGTATATATGTGTGTAGTGTTTCTGTGTTACCTTTATCTTGTATTGCAGTTTCTTGGGCTAAAAAGAAAAAGAAAACGCAAATGAATAACGAAACTTTGCAAAAAAAAAAATATATTAATTGAAATAAAGTTTTGGACATAAAATAAAATAAATAAGCATTAAACGCAGAAAAAGTAGAAATAGTAGCGAAATATTCAATTAAAAGGATAGTTACAAAATAATATCACCTAAAGGGCTTGATTGAAAACATTTTGTGGCAAACATACTTCGCACTCTTAAAAAAATTTTTGCAGAATATCAAATAAGTCACCTGAGAGCAAACAGGAAAATCGTGTAAACGAAGTAGAGCTAAAAAGTGATGCAGCACTGCAGAAAACTGCAATGATTGAAGTTCGTTAATTAGACTCATCAACGCGGAAGAACGACTTTGTAAAAGTACAGAATACGCAGTAATGGAGTAAAAAGGCAAACGCAGCAAGAAGAGCCCAAGAAGAGCAAAATGTATTAACCGACATACATAAAAGCAGAACTACTTAGTTTTAGTTGAAATGGGAGTGTATGCGCGATTCTAATTACGTCAGAATGTAAAAGGACTTTGCTGTGAGCGAAATTCAGCACTCCAACAAGTCTTAAGCAATTCAAACTACTCGTACAAGCCACGACTTGATTTCAGCGCCGCAAAGCAAACAAACTTGCTGGCAGAAATTATTTTGCGCTCTCTGCTGAAGCTTAGCTGAGTACTGTACTGTGGGACTTTTGCGTAGAATTTGTATAAAATTTTTTTTTAATGAAAAATTATACTTCTTAGATATTAGTCCATAATTAATATATTATTTATAGATATCAGACATTAAAAGTAAATTTTAATTAAACTATTTTTAAAGTTAGATTTCTTAAGCTATTAAAGTAATGGATAAGCCATAAATGTTTTATGTTTATAAATCGGTAGTATTCCAGTTGGAGATGCAAAGCTTAAAAAACTACAGTTGTAAAACTTCTTTCGAGTGAGAAAGCTCCACTGTGCGATATTCTTATAGTACTGTATAGTTGTGAAATCAGCAAATATGCGTAATAGGGGCACTTTCATTTCCGTTTTACATTACAACAGCAACCCACGTTTGCGTAGGAAATGCATTATTTTCGCACTGTTGATTAGAACTGTTGTAGCGCAAAATTTGGGTTATCGGGTCGCCGTTTAGTAAAGAAATTAGGCAGTTAGAAAAACTATAAAAATGTAATGCGATTTTTGTCTAAATTCTAGCTGTTATCATGCTTCAATTAAGCTGTATGAATTAATAATGTGCTGGACATAATGACTTTTATAGAAATGTCTAGTCTAGAGGCATGCATTTCAACAAATTTTTCAATTGTTGGAAAAAGAAGCAATTAAAATCTTTACTATCTATTTTTTTATTAGTTATATATTAACATTAAAAGAATATAGAAAAATATTTAAAAAAAAAACTGAATAATTTCCTCGGAGATTGCATTATTGTAGTGGATAATAATCCATACCTAGTTTCGTGAAAATATCTTGTCACATAAAAAGGTTTTTCATACAAGCACTTTATTCCGATCGTTCCTATTGATACCTCAAAAACTGAGGTACTAGTTCGTATATATAAAGACAGAAAGAAAACGGACATGGCTAAATCGATTCAGCTCATCACGCTGAATTCACGCGTGTTCATTGAATATATCATTCATAGGTATATGTACATACTTTGTAGGGGCTCCGATGTTTTTTTTGGGTGTTAAAAATTTCGTGGCAAACTTAATATACCCTGTTCAGGGTAAATATAGAATGTCACAATGCCTGGATCTACGGAAAAATTGGGAAAAAAAGTTTATTCACAATATATCGACTGCCAAAAATAAAAATTTGTGTATCACTTTTTTTTACGGTTTTTAATTTTTTTAAAAATATAATAAAATTTAATTTAAGGTAAATCGGTCCAGTAGAACCTAAAAAATCGTGGGCATTGTTTTGTAAAAGACCGAAAATAATTTTAACAACAATCTTCTTGTAGACATACTTATGACTAGTTAAACTTTGAAAATATAAAATTATTATTTTTATTTCAAGACCTACTTTTGACCATTCGCTTCTGTCTTCTCTTAATTTAGTAACTACCACTTCGAAGGTTGTTGGTTTAATTCCCAAAATATGTCGTATTATGGAAAAATTCTCCTGTAAAACCCGTATTTCAAAACCACGCGGCTTAGAAATTGTAAAATACTCATTTCTCGGCACTTATATGTACATACTTGAAAACGGAAATAATTTGACTTTAAGTGATATCAGTGTTGCATATTACACCTTAAGTATCAATTTCAAGCTTAGTGAAGGATGTAAAGACGTGTCTAACACTTTACCGTGCCGACACTACAAGCACCACTCATATTTTCCGATCGTTTACCTTCGAAGCGCAATTATATAGCACAATTTCGCCGATTTATTATACCATAAGTCAATTGTATTGTATATCCTATGTCAATACGAATATCCTGATACCGCTATTGCTGTTATTAACACTTGTGTGAGTCTGTTTAGGTGCAGCGCTTCGTTGTGCTTGTGGCTGGCGACGTTATTGTCATTGTTATTGTCTTTACGGTTTGCTTTCTTTATCTCTATTTCTCTTCATCGACGAGTCTACTTGGATGGAGCTGAGATGACAAACTCTTGTACGAGGATAACACATTTTAGTATTCATCATTGTAATGCGAATCATCTCACAAAAGAATATTGGTTTGACGTAACGATGTTGAATAACAATGAAAATGAAATTTCAAATTCAATACAAATAAAATGTGGCAAAATGTAATTTCGTCGAAGTCAATGCCGATTGCGGTAACGTGAAGAAACTATACGTATGAAAAACAGTAAACGATAAGAGGCGAAACATAATAACACTTGGGTTAATCTCAAAGCTTACAGTCTAAGAATTTTAAGATGTAGCCAAAAGTAAAAAAGCAAAAAATCCAATAGGATAAGAACTAAGTACGGTTCTTTACAATGAGACTTAGTAGAAATACAAGTCTGTTAAGACATGCTTAAGGATGTGCTTTAAATTTAAGAAGCTTAGAAGATTTTACTTTTACGGTGAAGGATACTTTTAGACTGTGAAGGATGGTAGTAAAAAAAGCTTTCTGGGTCTTCTAGTGCAGTTAGTGGATATATGACGTATAGTAGTCAAATTCGCTATTTTTCCGGTATATTTTTCAAACCAATTTTTTGTTGCTTTGAAAGATTGAGTTATAGTAGTGATGTAATTTCTACTTTTTCGTAGAAGGGAATGGAAGGTGGTCGCAGTCTGAAATTTAACTTTTTATATAAAAATAATTATTTTTTGCTCCAAGTATATTATCGAAAAAGTGAAAATATGTATTCGAATGCGACAATACAAAAGATTAGAAAGGACCGCAAAATGACGCGTACGACGTGTAGACCATAATCTAGCTAAATATCATTCATTTTCAGTTTTAAACACAATTTTTTTTTTTTTAATATTACATATTTTGACAAACAACGGTTTAAAGTCAGATGGAAAGTCGGAAACCACTTCATTACGTCCAAATTTAGCTGGAAAGTCGGAAACCACTCGGTATATTCTGGCCAGGTGAGGTCGGGACTGATTGTATTCACTTTTGACGGAATTTTATAAATATAACTCACAAGCTGGCCGACGTATTCGGTATAAAGTCTACAAGAATAACGAAAATCATTATATATATGTATGTGGTATATGGAAGCTGCGGCGATTCATGAACCGATAAAATGTATTCTATATATTAACCGATAAATACGGTAAAAAGCCAATTGGCGTCTAAGGATAGTAGTGACCTGATTTCATCCATTTTTGGTATCATGACATACATTTATCACAATAAGATACTCCCGGAGATTCGATAGTGTACTTCACATATTGATATATATCTGGTATAGGGCCAACTGGAAGTTCGTAAATTTTTATATTAGGTATATGAAGGCTAGGGGTATAGCATTGACCCTATTTTATCCGCTTTTTGACACAAAGCTGCAATGTTATCAAGAAAAGACTCTGGCTAAATTTCAATAATATATTTTACTGGGGACATCAAAACTTCTATTTGTGAAAATTTGAATTTTATCCTGATATCATAATTAGTGCGTGAGTTTTATTATGTAAAGTAAAATACCCAAATGAAATTCAAACTGGTGATATGCTGACTTCGCCAACAGTACGACATAAAGATATGAATATAATATTTCGCACCAAATTCGCTTCGTTTGAATTTTTGTTGTTCGTCAAAGCTGGACAGGCAGCTGAAAATGTGAGAGTGTTCCTGTACTGTAGTAACCAATTCTGCGCAACTTTGGTTTCGTCGAATCGCTCCGGAAATTTTATTGTCAAAAATGCATCACACCCTGGAAGGTGAATTCTTAAAAATATTGAGTGGAAAAAAATGTGGAAATTGTTTAGTCCGACCGTCATTTAAGCACTGTTTCGATCACACAGGAGCTAAACATAATACGAAAAAAGAAGCTCAATGGTTGGGTGCCACACAAATTAACATATATATATTCGCAAACCAATCGATCCATTTCTGAAGTAGATGGTTACTGATGGTTATAACAACTCTAAGCTAAAACGGTCGTCATCGAATCTCGGAGAGCCGGCGCAAACGATGGCCAAGTCAAGATTGACAGTCAGGAAGGGTTTGTGTGTGTTTGTTGGGTTTGACAGGCAATCATCTACTATGAGATCCTATCCTACGGCCAAACTTTTTATTCGCTTCTGGGCAGTGCAGTCAACTATGGGACCGGCTGAAGGAAGTAATCAAATCAGCCCAAAAGCGGTCACCTTTGGCCCATAGGAGAGGAATTTGGTTCCATCAGCACAACGCTAGATAAGGACTCGCCAAAAGCACAGGAAGCATTATTTAGACGTTATTCTCCCAATTTTATGCTAATAGGGACGAGGGTGCTTATGAGAATGGCATTATAAAATGACCTTCAAAGTTCCAACAAGCTATCAATAAAGTATGAACGAACTTGATTTATGTCAACATTTTAT